AGCACACCACTGCCAGTGCTGAATGTCATCATCTGGAATCAATGTTGAAACTCTGTTACAAAATGCATAACACTGACATATAAGGTGTTATAAATAGGGAAATGTACATTTGTGTCCTCATAATTCACCATGTTGTCACTGATTTGAATTTGTTTTATAAACTGCCACAAAACCTTAGCCGGAAATATATTGGTAAGGTGAATATAAGCATTAGACATTGTTATAACTGCATCGTCGGAGAGGTACACACAGTCAAATTTGGTGTTGTGCTTGTCAACAAATATATTATATTTTTCAAGACTACGTATTTCTTGGAATTAAGAACCTGCATCAAATAATCAAACAAGGAAGACACACTATATATGTTTTCGCCACATCAGCAGATCAGGGGACTGGTTACTTACACACATGCGTTGAGTCTGCAGCTGAAGGTTTTGCTTTGCACTGGGATTCCTTGGAAAGAGGACATATGACGGCAGTCTGTAAATAATCGACCCTGGGCCAGAAAAGCCAGTGATCAACAGTATGAACATCGATCAATGCAACTGGGATGCGATGACATGTATCAGCTAAGTCAGCGACCCTGACCACCTAATCCCGTCAGTTGCCTCTTACTACAAGCATGGGTTGCTGAAGATATTGCGGCCTTTTGTTCTCCGCAGAAACTGTGAAGCTGCAATAAACTATAGATCTACAGGGAGTGTTAGATCAGATACGTTGAAGCATACCGACCGTGCTGATGGGAAATAAAATGAAACACGAAGTCGCTTTCAAAATTAACCATATTGTATTGTGTTGATTGTCTTACGAGTTGACAGCAGAATGATTAAATACAAATATACTGAAAGGCGAAAGAAACGTAGTATTTTTGGATTTGGTATCAATGATGTATTTTGATTAACTAGTTGTAACTTGATGACTGTAAACAAAATATTAAAAACTTGATTGTTGGTGCAACACAGCAACTTTTGGGATGGTTTCAAAACGTTTCACTGTTTTTCAACAAGGAACAGCTCAACCAAACACAACATTGAAAATTCTGCACGTGCATTTCGTGTGCATACAAGTATAAATTCCAAGTTTGACGCCGATCCTTCAGTCGTTTCCTGCCTACGGCAGCTATGCCGAGGTTAACCGAGGGGCCTTCATTATGAATTATCCGACAATGGACATCGCTCTGTATTACACTACATCTTGACACGATTGACACACTGGTTGTTGTGTTTGTCACATTGTTCCTGATTCCTGAATTCACAACGGCGATATCAGGGCCATTAAACATGTTGTTCTGCCTTATGGTCTCCATTTCCACCCAATAACGTTTACATGGAAACCCTTCATTGTTTCAAAGGTAGAATGTATTTTAACAATGCACAATTTCTTTTTGTAGCTAGTATACAATATAAAACTTTACATTTTATCATATTAAAGAGAGAGAGAGTAGGGTGATTTGAGGTAGGTGAGTGAATGAATAACATTGAGATGTCTTTGATTGGTTGTTTAACGCAGCGCTCAGCAACATTTTAGTATATGACGGCGGTATGTAAATTATCGATTATGGACCAGACAATCCAGTTATCAACAGCATGAGCACCGATCTACTTAATTTGGATATGATATGAATCAACCAAGCCGGCGAATCGGACCACCAGACCCCTTTGGTCGCCTCTTACGTCAAGCATGGGTTATTACAGACCAATTCTAACCCGGATCTTCAAGGGCGAAATAAAGTTGTAGGACGCCGATGTGCCCTATCACTCTCCTCAGTATCATGTTATTGTTTGGTCCAGTTACGAATATTTACAGTTTGTCGTCAAACAGTTGTTTCGATTGATTTCTGTTTTCAAAATCAAGAATCAGTATCCCCCACACGCCTGATGGAATCGATAAGCGTCCCGCCGAGGAGACATTACTGACTTGTCAGTCTCATATTATTCAGGTTATTCAGTTACCGACAGTGTTTCAAAACGTACGGACAGAAAGCAAAGACGCATTTTTACAAGAACCTGCTGCCTTTGAAGATTAGAGTTGACGGTAAGTTAAAAGGAAATTATTTATGTCGACTATTTGCCATATATTTTGCTGTAACAAACGCAACAAAAGAAATTCACGATGAGTTCGTATATAAACTAGTGTCTGAATAAACCGACAGTTTATACTAAAATCACTTTCAAAATGTTACACACCCAATAATAAAGCAGTGTGTCGCCATTTCTCGCAAAGACGTATACGATACATTTTAACAAGAACCTGCTGCCTTTGAAGATTAAAATTGACGGTAAGTCAAAGGGAAATTATTTATGTCGACTATTTGCCATATATTTTCCTGTAACAAATGCAACAAAAGAAATTCACGATGAGTTCGTAAGTAAACTAGTGTCTGTATAAACCGACAGTTGATACTAAAATCACTTTGAAAATGTTACACACCCAATAATAAAGCAGTGTTTCGACATTTCTCCTTCCTCTGCCCCCGATGTTTGTGTATTCCTCCTGCATCTTCACTGTCACGTCAGTCTCCTGAAACCTCTACTGTCACTCGCCAATGGCTGAGGGATGGTGTAAATCCAACTAGGGTCCATGCAGGTAGCAAAAGTAATGTAAGTCCCCATGGTTCCTAGTATGGTGATCTACCTTCAGTTGTTGGCGATCTATAGCCCGTTTTTATATTGTATTGTCTTCTTTCATTGGAATATTTTAGCTTTGTTTGCTAGTTTTATATTTTCATATCTGTGATTATCTAGTATTTTTACTGTCCTTCGTCGGCAGGTTTTTATAATATCTATATATATCTTTTATTTCTTACTGTCAAATGTTCTCGTCACGATATGGCTGAAATATTGCCGATGTGACGTTAAATATTAACTCACTCACTCACTATATTGTATTGTCTTCGTAAATAAAACAGTTTTACATGTTCATGCTAGTTTTAGACTCCATCTGTGATACTCTAGTTATTTTACAGTCCTTCGATGACTGATTCTTTAGCAACTTTAATTTATTATTTATACAAAACATTTCTCGTCACTATATGGCTGAAATATTGCCGATGTGACGTTAAATATTAACTCACTCACTCACTCACTCTACTGTCACATCTATATCCTGGGTTTTCACTGACACAACTGTCCCCTATGTCTTCACTGATAGATCCGACGCCTGTAACTTGTGTTTTCACTGTCAGATCTGTCCATATATCTTCACTGACAAAACTGACGCCTGTCTTCACTGTCACTTGTTTCATCACTGTCAGCTATGTTCCCTGTGCCCTAAGTGCCAGCTCTGTACCCTGTATCTTCACTGCCAGCTCTGTTCCCCGTGTCTTGACTGTCAGTTCTGTTCCCCTTGTCTTCATTGTAAGCTCTGTTCCCTGTGTCTTTACTGTCATCTGTGTTCACTGTTATCTGTTCCCTGTGCCTTCATTGTCAGCTCTGTTCCCTTTGTCTTTACTATCAGCTCTGTTCAGTGTGTCTTCACTGTCAGCTCTGTTCCCTATGTCACCGCCGTTCCCTGTGTCTTTACTGTCAGCTCTGTTCCCTGTGTCTTCGTTGTCAGCTCTGTTCCCTGTGTCTTTACTGTCAGCTCTGTTCCCTGTGTCTTTACTGTCAGCTCTGTTCCCTTAACTTGATGACATTTAATACATATTATGAAATATCGGCTTCCCATTGCTCAGACTGGGGGTCAAGGTCATTAGGACCTCCCGAGACACATAACTTGCTGTTTGTTACGTGTTAGGTATTAGACTTATGTCCTGAGCGTTAAATCTTTGTAACTAGAGTCATACATGTATGCGTGTTAAAGTTCACCACTGGACTTCAGTGATTTAGTGAAAATAAAAGAGTACATTATATATATGTCCCAGACGGGGAGGTCTCAGGGCATTCGTGCCAGTCTGGATACGGGATTACATATGTGATATAGAGAAATAATAATTGTCATTGTTTGCCAATGCCTTGTATACCAAGTTTTCTAAACCATATCGCGTGAGGCAATGCTTACATTTAGTCAGCATTCTGAAATTGTGCTTGTGTTTCAGGTTTAGGAGCATCATTCAACCTGGCTGTAGCTGACAATGAGACTTCTGCAGACATACATGATAATACTTGTTGTTTGTCCTCTGGTTGTCCTGGCAAGAAGGAGGCGAGTTACATTCATGAATTTCCCAGCAACAAAATCAAAGAGTGCTTCTGTGACAATCCAGCCAGCCAGGAGCAGGATCGAATGCTCTGTGATCTGCCTGAATGACCCGAAATGTCTGTCAGCCTCCTTCTGCAAAACAGTAGATGGTTTCACCTGTCAACTGAGCGGGTCGTACGTGAATGGGAGCTCTTCTGGACTCACAGTTGATAGTGCCTGTACCCAGACTGCAGTTGTGAGTTGTTCTCTGATTATGATGATGTTAGGTGAAATAGCGTGTGTGTGATCCTCTGGGTGCATTTTGGAATAACTGATCCATATTGTTTTGAAAATGTTTGAATACTTTACAGATCTATGCTTTATCTAGGTCTAAACACTAATGATGCCCAATGTCAGCCTACAACGACACTGTGTTCATATTTAAACTGTCATGCAAAGGCGGTCCCCATTTTGCTGTACGGTAATTAAATGTGAGGAATGGGTGACATGAAAGTCACAAGAGCCTTACACACTTGCTTGTCAATATATCGTAACAGTAGAAACGATGAGCTGTTGCATGAGCGTTTAATAAAACTTAAGAATAAGTGTGATTTGTCCAGATTACTTGATGCACTACATTCCAAGAAATTTTATTATGGTAACACTAGATGGGCATCAAACAAATACCATGTTTTATATATCTGCAAAACCCATGATGTTTGCAGTCAAGAATATTCTCTTTCAGTTTTTAAATTTCAAATGTAGTTCTAAGATGTGTCATCATTCATTGATCAATAATCTATCCTTACTTATTATGATTTTTATTACTTGTATTTCCAGGTATATCCATGTGAAAATGGAGGAACATTCATTCTAGAGAATAGGACATGTTCCTGTGTGGAAGGATTCGATGGTGATTACTGTCAAAGGCGCTACAGAGGTAAGTTCCCAAGTATCTTGATATTGTCGGCTGATTATGTGACATTTTGACATGGCAGTCACATGATGGGGACAGGCGATTCATTAAAATATCGTTGCACAAAAATCATTGCAAAAGTAATCAGGAAGTTCATATTCCTGTAAGGTGTCAAGGCCTCATCTTAAAGACCAATTACAAATATAAAAAAATTCCTACCCTTGCCAGTTGATGTATCTAAAATGCTAATCATCTGAGATCTGCATCACTTCAACATAACTGAAGAATTAGGTTTACACGACGTTGTTACAGGAATTTTGTTCAAAGCGTCGTTGAACACATTTCGCTTACTCGCCCTAGCTCTTCAACTCAATTACAAAGTCAAAACCTGTGTATTGTACAACCATATATTTTTCCTTTCATCTCAGAATGCTCAGACACACCACGTCAGAATAAAGTCTACTCTCTTCAACCACTGAACTCTGATTATATCTTCGAATACCTTTGCGGGCCCCCGAATAAGTACACAACTTATGTGACGACTTACTCGTTTACCTTCAACGGAAATTTTACAAGGACATGGGAGACAATGAAACGAGGCCTTCCACTTTACACTGGTACTCACTTTTACTTTCTCGGCCTTGAAAATCTACACCAGTTAACCAAGCATGGTTCGTATGACTTATTTGTATATGTGTGGGTGTTTGGTGTTAACAACGGCTTACTATTGTACAAGAATTTCCGAGTGGACTCTGAATCAGAGGGCTATGCGTGTCACTGGGATTACTTTCAACAAAACACGACTGGTACCCTCAGTGATCAGTATCTGGATGGTTTTGGTGGTGCTGGTGATGTCACCAAGAACTTAAATGGATCACGTTTCGCTACCTATGACAACGACATCAATGGCTGTGCAAGCTCCAAAGGATCTGGATGGTGGTATAATCCCATCGGGTGCACTTCCCTGTTGTTTGAACCAAATGGATTGCATTGGCCAGTTAATCGAACAGGAACAATTGAAATTGAGAAAGTGCATCTAGTTCAAATACGCCTAGAGAGGGCTTACTGGTATGTGGATGATGACCTTGTCCTTTGATTAATCAGTATTTACAGATCTGAATGGTTGTTCTTTACTACAGGCACTGCCAATATTTGTAACTTTATTCACAATAAGCTGAAACTGATATGAACAAATTGTGTGCGCACACTGTGTACTTGTTCAAGAGTCTCTAAATTTATTTTCCCTTTTGCCAACGTAACATGTCTGTCGGTTTATATTTTCATCTATACTTTTATCCTAGATACTATCTTTTATCCCATCTATATAACTACACGCGAGATGATTGGCGTGCCAGTCTACCTATGCATAGTCTTTTTCCGATACCATCTGGATGCCCAAGCACAATTTCATCTTCCAATACTGGTTTCCAGAGGAAATATCGTTTTCGTAAGTTTTGAACTAATTGCTGATTGGTCAATATTTTCGGACTACCTTCATCTCCCTTAACTGTAAACAGATTGACCACCGCAATTATTTTTGTTCATGATTTGTTCTAACGGCATACAAATTTACTTAAAATACCGCCATGAAATGGTGAAACTTAAAGCAATAAATGTTAGCACTACTTTAATGTAGTCACGCTTTCCCTCTTCCATCACTGTATACGCATGTCTTTAAATGAATTTGTTTCAGGTAACGTTTTATTTTTAACTTCTCTTGAACGACAAATTAAGTATGCTATTGGATAATAAATTTCACACTCGTGGGTTTTTTTATATCTAACATATCTCCACCCGTTGATAATAGTGAGTTGCTGCACGCAAGACATGACAAGATTGATTGTGGCGAAGAACCAGATGATCAAAAACTTTTATAATCAACATCAGTATACTTCTTCTCAGCACATGTGCCTACTGCCGTATGCATGTAACATACCCATTAACACAACTGAACTAACAGACACATTACAACTGCATAACACAACTCATCTTCATATCTAGTATTCCTGTCAACACAATACTCGAAATATTGAATAAAGCCTAGTATCTAACCATATTTCGTTCTTTCTAATCCTTCCCCAAGGACCAGGGATATAATGCGTCTGCAGAATCACAATGGTAACTGTAGGAGCGGCCACGTTGCGCCCCCGTGTCAGTAGAGAATGGGAACTTGGTGTACTGTTTAGTTAATGCATCATATCACTGTTTAGTTCATTCAGTCATAACACTGAGCGCTAGTTGTTCAGCTAAGTACATCGAGAAGTTGAAACAAGAAGTGTTACCAAACTAAGGGAATATTAGACGCTAAGTGATGAAAACATATAGTTTGCCAGGAGTGCTTTGCCACATGGTGTTAGAAACATCATGTTTCAGTTTGGATATATAGAACACTTTATTCTCTCTGAGGGTCCATTCTAGATTGTTTGGCCCATGACGGACTGGGAACCTGTGAATGAATGGATGCATAAAACGCAGTTGCTCCTGCGAGCCGTTTTATAGGGACACGGGTATTATTTCGACAGGCTTAACAACCTAAATACATCAAAGCTAGTTGCTTCAAGCCCCGGCACTTATGAGGAGCCCAGGGGCCCAGATGTATAATGGGTCCTGAGTATTCCATTGCTGGTCGTAAATGGGGCAGCCTGTTTACGTGGGTTGCGTTCCTGTGATGGTGGTCTTTCCATCCAGCATGACCATGTTGCCATCGAGACTGCAGGGCATGTGTATGGTTTGAAGCGAGTGTCAGACCAAACGTTCAGGAAATGTCTAGGTGAGGTGGGAATTAGACAACTAAGGCAGTAGAGCAACACTGTACAGACATGGATCAGTGACGAGCTTGTCACTAAGGCTGAGAGTGATTACAACGTCACCAACGTCAAAGTGAAAGTTTTAAAACCTAACCATGTTAGGCTGTTCGATTGATTCTGTGGTGGAGGTGGGCTGGTACGGGAGACATGTCACTGTTGCCTTCTTCCACAATTCAAACGTCATTGCCAAAACATTGCCTTCAGAAACATTTATTCTTTATTTGTATCTGTCTGACAGAAATTCACGTAGATTTCACAGTGTCTAACATGGATTGATTATATAGCAGCAGTGTCGCTGAAAATAAATTGCTTGTCATTGTGTCTTTTCAGATCTTTTTGTCAGTGTATATATAATTGTTTTCACAACCAACAACTTCAGTAAATAGCCAACGAACATATACACCGTGTTGTTGACGCATGTCGCACATCTTAAACTTATTTAATTACATTCCTTCATATCACAGGTCGACAACATGAACAAAGTCACTAAATTTAAGATTTTGAGTTCTTGTTTGTTTTCACAAATAACTAAGTGAATATAAACGTTGAATTTAAGAATCTTAAGATAGTTCTAGCAACATTTCTTAATCAGTAACAACAGTCTAACAGGGGACATTTGTATATTTATCATTGGCCAGTCACAGAAATATAACATTACCTTTGATGTGCATAATTATTAGGGTAAATATTTGGCATTAAAAATTAATTTGCAAATCCAGTAACACAAAGTGACCGGTATGAATCACATAATCTGAAACTTTTGAAGCAACGTCAAGTTTTAGTTTGCCTGCGGACACACATCACCAGCAGCAACACTACTTTCAGTAATTCTACCCTGGCAAATATTTCGCAAATATATTTCAGTAAGTATTCTATTTCTTGTTACCTTACTTTTCACGGGGATGACTTCATTCGAAGTATTGTTACTATTTACCTGACACAAAACCAAAGCGACATTTAATCTGACCTGAGTAAGTCAAGAAGGGACGACTGATCAGGTCATCAGTGCTCGGTCAGACCAGCAGCCAGCAGCCCACAGTAGTCTTTATCATCAGATAAGAAAACACTATTGCACAAACTGCAAAGACGAACTTAGACTCGTAGCTTTTGAGTTATCAGGCGAAGCACATACATTGAGCTATACTAGGGAACAATCTCCTGTTTGGAAGAAATGTTTTAAAATTGACTTTGATTCAGGTGGTGCGTAATTAATGACCAGATGTATACATGCGATAATCAATTGGAACTTGAAATGTGTCTGATATTCGAGCAACTTCTTTGAGTTGCACTGATAAGTTGGTGAGATGAACAACGGAGACAGTTCTAATGATATACAGCTTCTGGATATATGCAATTTTCCCGTGTAGATGTAGATTCCGGTATCAAGCAAGATGCATCTACCGAAACGTCGTATATATTGTAATAGAGAGCTTGTATATCCCTATAACCACCCCCCCCCCTCGTTTGTATTCGAGTGATCATCAACATGATGCCTAATCATGGACTGGAACTGTCTTTATTCTGATGAAATGTTCTAAAAAATATAGGTAATATTACTCATGCTGCGTTGATCACTATGTACTCACTGTGCTGAGGTGATTTCGCTGTAATGTGGCTGATTGTCGTTTTTTACAACCTTAACACACGGTTGACCACTGTCTGATGTCAGATCTGCTTCACATTATAGACTCGAGATATCATCAGGCAGTGATCCCAAAGTACAACATCCTCATTCTAGTCATCTCCTTTTCGATCGTCCTTGCTAAAAGAAGGCGTGTATCATTCATAAATTGCAAATCAACAAGGTCAAGCTTTAGCATTAAATCGAAGTAGGATCAGGTGCTCAGTGACCTGTCTGAATGATCCGCAGTGTCTGTCAGCCTCCTCCTGCAAGACAGGTGATGGCTACTGCCATCTGTCAATACGTGGATAGCGGCTGCTCTGGACTTTCCTCAGATGGTGACTGTACCCTTTCTGCAGTTGTGAGTTGATGATGGTTAATGATGCCCTCTGTGTATTTGCGATGATCATTTCGTTACAGCATACATCTGTGACTCGGTTGCAACTCAGATACAGATTCTTTCCTGGGCGGCTTCACTGATATTGAGTCAAGAAACAATGAATGAGTTTTGTTATGCCTTTCGACCATCATAAGTTTGTAATGGTATGCTATATCGCTGGGATCATGCAAAGGAAGCTGGACACCGTAAACATATACTTAATGCTTAGATAAAATGGAAAATGCATCCACTCAGTAAACCGCTGGTCATTATGACCCCGAAACATCACTTACGTGACCTCATTTACTGCATTTGATTAGACAGATTGTCAGAAGGTTCTCATTCAACGTATGGTTTAGATTTCTCCTCGAGTGGTCCCACTGGATACATTGAGGACTTGAAACATGAAAGCAGCTACTATGTCAAAAACAGTTGTCCACTTTCAAATATCGTTCAACATTATTGAACCCATCTGCATGTGACATTTCTGCATTTGATACAAACAAGGGACAGGTTGTCTTAATTTTTCTGAGTTGAGTTGAGTTGAGTTGGGTTTTGCGTCACATTGGCATTATTCCAGGCATATAGTGACGAGAACAAGTTTGCATTATTTTTTGTGACAAAGCCTGAATTCAAATGTAACTTTACAGCTTAATGGTAAGACACAAACATTGACTTGTCAAAACATGTATAGCTCTGCATATCACTGAATGTACCCTCGGCGGTTTGAGATATTCTTTAGAGTCAAAACATTAAATATACATCTGTGCATAAAATAAGCACCACCCTTTATTTTTACAAATGAATTTTGTCTGAAATGAAATTCTAAACTCTTCCTAAAAAATAACCATAATAATTTGATAGAGCAAGCATTTAACATTTCAAAAACCAAAAACCATTTTAATTATGTTAATTGCATATATTTAAAACAGGTGTTTTTCTGTCCTAAAACAAGTTACCATTTTGACAGGTGAAAGTAATAATTGATTGTTGTGTGGCCTATAAATTCGTTATTTATTGTGAATGGATGAAAGTTTGTAAACTAAGATTTAGGAAAAGTTACAGTCTAACTAAAAAAAATAACTTTTTTAAATGCAGTAAAAGTTGCTTAACAAACAAACCAGATTTTAGCTGTAATTATCAGTATCCGACAAGGAGAAGTGTTTATTCATTAAACTAAACTCAAAATCATAAAAAAATTATTCCAAAATCTTTTGAGTTTTTGTCATATAGCAACCTGAAACAGGTCTGAATCTTTGACGTTCGGGTTCTTCCTGATTATGCATAATTAACGCTTACTTGATGTGTGAAAGTCATCTTGGTATATAACAGAATTGTGTAGTTTGAGCAGGAGAGGAATAGTTATTTTGGGTAAAAATTCAGTCCCATCATATTTTCATCAACATATTCTTTCATGAAGAATAGAAAAGGTTATGATATTTGTAAAACTGTCAGTGGATAACGCTTCTTTAACTACAGGTTGATTAAATTGATGGCTATACCCTAACTTTTTTTGTAGCATCACATCTTATTTTCAAAATAGGGTGGTGCTTAATTAATGCACAGGTTTATTTCAACAGTCATCCTGCATTGATCGGTCTACCAACATTACCATTATGAAATCCGGTCCCATACTTGCCTCTTTTTAAGACTGCATCCCATCTAGTTATATCTAAACATTGAAGACGTGTACCCTCTAGGGCAAAACAGATCCTATCATTGGATTCAGCTGTTGAGCAAGAAATGGCATATGGATGAAACAAACTCAGGAAAGATAAAACTATTGCTCACTCAAACACTTTTATACCAATTGCGTAGATCGAAGATCATGACGTTAATCAGTGGATTGTCTGGTCCGGACTAGATTAGTTACAGACTGCCACCATAAAGCTGTAATAATGTCGTCACCTGACTGAAAACCTGCCGCGCGGTGTTAAGCAACAAAGAAGCGAACACATATATTTATCAAAATTGTGGCACCAATTTGAATATTCATTTTCCCTTGATTTATTCAAGGTCTGTCAGCACGTAAGTATTGCATATTTTTCAGCACGTAAGTATTAGACGTCAACTGCAGAGAATAACCATTTTTCCACGTGAAACCGTGGTAATCATATTGAAACACACTTCTTACGGTCTGTGTGTTGTTTCACGCCGCACTAGTCCAGCTATATGGTGGTACACTAATAAAGAACAATGTATCAGTTTTACATTGAGTACATATCCCAAACATTACCATAGGGGCATTCGTCTCCGTTATTAACGCTGCTGTCCTTGTTGATATTTTTAATATAACATGGGGCAAGCTACAGCAATATTAAACAGTTCACTCAACGATTTCGGTATGCATAAAAGTTGAAATGCAGCAAGTGGTAAATAATGGGTTGTCTTAATTGGAACAGCTGTTTTTTTCAACTGACAGTTGGCATGAATGTTTCTTCTGGCGAAGAGTTCTTCTTCAGTTCAAGTGAGTGCGTGAGTTAAAAGTAGGATGGAGTTGAATGAGTTTTCGGCCGCTTTTAACAATAATCCAGCAACGACATAAACGATGACACCGTAAGTGGGCCTTGACGTTGTCCCAATATGGGGTATCGAAACCGTACAAATGTGCGAAAGCTGCAAGCAGTAGGCTAACCCACCGCCACTACCAGAGGTGTAGCATGAAGTATGTAAGGTATTTCATGCTAAATTACGTGCTTGGAACATGCCATGAGACAGCTGTCCCAATATGTTAACCATCAACATCTGCAAACTGAATTATTTTGGCTACATTTTGATAGCTACAACAATGAGTATGCTAATACTAGGTCCATACAGTTGCTTGAGAAGTACATCTCAAATCAAGAAACAATAATATCATCAATCCATCATGCAAAAGAAGAGAATGAATGTTGTGTTACGCTCCACAGTCAGTTACCCGTGAAGATCCGGGTTAGAATATTGATCTTCAGTAACCCCTTGCTGTAAGAGACGACTAACGGGATCGGGTGGTCAGGCTCGCTGAATTGGTTGACATGTGTCATCGGTTCCAAATTACGCAGATCGATGCTCATGCTGTGGGTCACTGGATTGTCTGGTCCAGACTCGATTATTTACAGACCGCCACCATATATACACAGTAAAAAAAGTGTTGCACCCCCATATTAAAACTCTGGTTACGTTGGCATATCTAAAACACACGAATAGGTTGTTGATGATAACCATTCTACTAGGATTTGGTGTTGAAGTCATTAATGTTTTCGTAGTGAAAACGATCTCCAAAACGTAGCAACCTGCACTAGAATAGCATGCTTCATGATTTTTGCAAATTGCAGTATGCTCATGTGATGAATCTCGCCTATAAAAATTGTTCTTCTGGCCGTTGAATCCATTGTAACGCAGCATGCCGGGTGCGAGAATAGCAGATGCAGTCAAGTGGCAGATTGTTGGACTCCATAGGGCTGGTCTTTCCTTCAAGGAGATTGGCAGAAGAACCGGGCGTCATTACTCCACAATAAGCCGCCTGGTGAGAAAACATGCGCATACTAATGATGTAAAGAATCGCAGACCTTCAGGCAGACCACGTACAACCACAGTCAGGGATGACAGAGCATTGCTACGGCTGGTAAGGCGGCAACCCTTTGCTTCAAGTGCAGCCCTGAAACGCCAATGGCTTCCTCATCGTCAGATCAGCCACCAAACAGTGAGGAATCGACTCGAGGCCGCTTGATTGAGGTCCAGAAGAGTCATCAAGCGCCCCCAACTCACAGAGAACCACAAGAGGTTACGTCTAGCCTGGTGTAGACAAAGACAAGGGTGGAACTTGAGGTCTTGGAGAAGAGTCCACTGGTCAGACGAGAGCAGATTTCTTCTGCATGTTGTGGATGGCAGAGTCAGAGTTTGGAGGCGTCCGGGTACAGCTTATGCACCTAGGAACATCATGCCAACGGTACCATATGGAGGTGGATCGGTTATGGTATGGGGTTGCTTCTCATTTGACTGTAAGCTGGATCTAGTGACCATAAGAGGCACTTTAACGGGCGATCGCTACATTCAGGAAGTGTTTGATCCAGTTGTTGTGCCCCATTTTGACAATCATCCACTTACAACAAGGCCAATATTCATGGATGATAATGCTCGGCCACATCGTTCACGAGCTGTGACCCAGGTCATCCAGAACAATGCACTGACTCACCTCCCATGGCCAGCAATGAGTCCAGATCTCAATCCCCTGGAACACATATGGGACATTTTGGGCCGTCTGATACAACGCAGGGATCCTCCTCCACAGAACGTGCGGGAACTGGAAGCAGCATTGCATGATGAGTGGCAGCAGCTGCCCATAGAGCGATTTCGACGTCTGGTGAGGGGTATGAGACAACGACTGGAAGCTGTTATCCAAGTACTGGGTGGAAGTTCACGATATTGACTGTTTGTGTTTGTCCACACTCTGTATGTCAGTTTCAGCCTAAGAGAAGTTTTGTTTCGACATTAAATTTCCATTCTCTGCCATACTTAAAACCGTCTCGTTTTCCTTGAATTTGAACGCAATACTTAAGGGCAAGATCCTTACATACCATGAGGTCAGGGGATACCCCATCTCAGTTCATTTTATAGGCACAAGACTGGTTTGTTGGTGTATGCACCATCCAGGTTCTAATTCTCATTCTGTTATCGTTCAGTTACGCCAAAAACATCATACCCCGGAAAAAAGATAGGGGGTGCAACACTTTTTTTACTGTGTATAGCTGGAATATTGCTGAGTGCGGCGTACAACAAAACTTACTCATTCACTCACTCGCTCCACACACAGTCAGTCAGCATGATCTGGTTTGGTGGTATGCAATCTATTGCTGATACCGTATTTGTGTATGTTCTGTCCCTGTGTTGAAAACGTATCGAATGTCCAGGCTCCCTGTAAATACTGGAGGTGGTACACGCTGTCTCAGATGACGATCAAACTGATTCCTGGGATGTTCAGTGGGGTTCATGTCAGGAGAACGCGCTAGCGAAGTCAATACCTTGACGTTAACTTTGTGCAGGTATTCTCGAACAGTTCTGGCGGCTTGACGACGTTCACTGCCCTGCAGCAAAATGACTCCGACTTCTTTTGGCTGTTGTCGAGTAAAAAGGCACAACAACTCTCACTGTCTCGCTGGGCATTCAGATTTCCTCAGATTGTCTTGTTGGCCCCAAATACCGCCCCATACCATGACGCCTCAATCAAACGGATTAACGTCTTGAACGCAGTTTGGCGCTCTCCTCTACGTCAAAGAACGTGACATCCGTCATCGTTTCTGAACAGACTGCACCAACTGTAATCTGTAAAGAGTACTTTCTCCCAGTGACGTCGTTGCCACCGACGTACAGTTTGTGAAAAGTGAAGTCTGCGTTGATGGTGTAGACGGCGGGTCAAGGCATTTCAACGGAATGGATGCCATACCAAGTTGTCGAAGAATGCTCACCTGCTGATGGCGTGTCCTAGTGACGTCGCCTTCGCGAATCTGTTCCGGGGGTGGATCTGCCAGATGTAGCGGTCTTCGGCGATGTCGTGACTCTTAGACTTCCCGAGCTTGGGCTTTCTTAGTTCTGGCCTGTTTTCTGGTAGCTGTTTACCAATGTGTTAATGCTGCTGTTGAAGGTTCCGATAAGCTGACGTTGTAAACCCCCAATTTCGGCCATACCGATAGTCTTCTCTTGTTGAATATTTATGGGGTTTTTTTGTTTTAAGTATTAGGCTCAGTCTTGAAAATATTTGTGCGTTTGAACAACTACAGAACAAGATATCAAGAGAGGTTGACTGGTCATGTTTTTGTTGACATTTAACTTCATCTAAAATTACGACCTTCACTTTCATTACTTTTTAAGTTTGATTTGATCATTTGCGGCGGTGGATTATGTCACCTTAGTCACAATTGCTTGTTCTGTTTGTTTTTTGGGGTTAGTGTATGATTGCTCTACCCAACAGGGCGGTGGGGTAGCCCAGTGGTTAAAGCGTTCACTCGTCACGCCGAAGGCCCGGGTTCGATTCCCCACATGGGCACATTGTGTGAAGCCCATTTCTGGTGTCCTCCGACGTGATATTGCACGTGCATTGGGACTATTCGGACAGTTGCGTTCTTATCGGGACCATGTTGCGTTTGGGCGAATGTTTCCTGCTGGGGTTCAAACCTGTACCAGAGTGTACTTTCTTCTGCCCGATAGTTTTTTGCCCTGTGTTCGAGCTTTCAAACTCAAGGCCATGTGCAATGATGTCTCAAGGGTTAATGCGTTTCCTCGCCACCTCGTATGGGCTCTAAATTGCCGTTCCACACATGATGCAAAAGTAACTATTTCGTGTTGTGTATCATATCCAAACTGTACTCAATGTTTATATTCAATAAGACAGAAATATTGCCTATGTCATGTCAAGTCTTAACTTACCCACTAAATGTAACATGTAAATTGACACATGTCGTATGCGAATTGTGTAGATGCTCATGCTGTTGATGACTGGATTGTCTGGTCCAGGCTCAATTATTTACGGACCGTCATATAGCTGAACAGTCCCTAGTATTGACGACCTATAGCCTGTTTGTATATTGTAATGTCTTCGTAAATCAAATAGTTTTAGACTTCACTGCTAGTTTTAGACACCATCTGTGGTACTCTACTTATTTTACAGTCCTTCGATGACTAATTATTTGACAACATATCTCTTGTGTAAGCAAAACCTTTCTCGTCACTATATGGCTGAAATATTGCCGAGGTGACGTTAGATTTTAACTCACTCACTCACTATATAGCTGGATTATTCTGATGATCGCATTTAACAACAAAGAAACACACAAGTAATACTCACAGATTGAGATGCCACTCGAAGAACCCACTCAGTCATCTCAATAACGTAGAACGCAACGTTAAACATCATCCCGCCATTTATGTTTCTCCATGATTTATGACTGATCTACATGCAAAACGCAGACTGGATACTGATTTACCAGTGTCAAACACTATCCGGAGTGTTTCAACACTTTCAACATTGCACAATGCCGTATATAAGTTGGGCCCAAAGGTACATCATAACATCTGTTACGTCATGCCACAACATTTGAAAGTCCTCACTCACTCAATATATGAATATGTCCGCTCTGTACTTGCCAAAAGATAACCTTGGGTTGTTCAAAATAGTTCATAATTGTATATCAACTGTTTAATATAGGTCATAAATGTAGTCCAAGTCACACACACATTGTCACCGACTTATTTAAAATGTCTGCTAAATAAAAAGATTGGATGATCTTTTTTATGAATGTTGGTGCCGCAATATCTGCTCCAAGAAATTTGTGAACATATTTTAAAAGATTATCTAGTAAATTGACCGCAGGACTTCAGTGCATAATACTAACATAAATATTTAGGCTTACAGGAACGTAGATGTATATAAGTTTTTGTTGAAGAGTACAAAACCTTATTCAAGAACGAGGTCATCGTTTATATACCAGTGAACTGGCATT